TCTTATGATTCAATGATTCAATCTTATGATTCAATGATTCACTCTTATGATTCAATGATTCAATCTTACGATTCAATGATTCAATCTTAGGATTCAATTATTCAATCTTATGATTCAATGATTCACTCTTAGGATTCAATTATTCACTCTTAGGATTCAGTGATTCACTCTTAGGATTCAATGATTCAATCTTACGATTCAATGATTCAATCTTAGGATTCAATGATTCACTCTTAGAATTCAATGATTCAATCTTATACTCCCTAGGGTCGGAGCCAACTCATTAGGCTCGGAGCTTCTGTAAAGCTTCTGTAAAGCTTCTGTAAAGCTTCGCAGAAGCTTTACAGAAGTTTACAGAAGCTTCACAGAAGCTTCACAGAAGCTTTACAGAAGCTCCGAGCCTAATGAGCTGTCTCCGAGCCTAGGGAGTATAAGATTGAATCATTGAATCCTAAGAGTAAATCATTGAATCCTAAGATTAAATCATTGAATCGTAAGATTGAATCATTGAATCGTAAGAGTGAATCATTGAATCGTAAGAGTGAATCATTGACTCATAAGATTGAATCATTGAATCCTAAGATTGAATCATTGAATCGTAAGATTGAATCGTTGAATCATAACAGTGAATCATTGAATCATAAGATTGAATCATTGAATCATAAGATTGAATCATTGAATCATAAGAGTGAATCATTGAATCATAAGAGTGAATCATTGAATCATAACAGTGAATCATTGAATCATAAGATTGAATCATTGAATCATAAGATTGAATCATTGAATCATAACAGTGAATCATTGAATCATAAGAGTGAATCATTGAATCATAACAGTGAATCATTGAATCCTAAAGCCATTCGAGGATGATAAGGAAGATAAAGATAAGGATAAGGAAGATAAGAAGATAAAGATAAGGATAAGGATAAGAAAGATATTAAGATAAAGATAAGAAGATAAAGATAAGAAGATAAAGATAAGGATAAGGAAGATAAAAAGATAAAGATAAGGAAGATAAAGATAAGGATAAAGAAGATAAAAAGATAAAGATAAGGAGGATAAAGATAAGGAAGATAAAGATAAGGAAGATAAAGATAAGGATAAGGAAGATAAGAAGATGAAGATAAGGGTCGATGTAGGGTCGATGTGGGGTCGATGTAGGGTCGATGTGGGGTCGATGTGGGGTCGATGTAGGGTCGATGTAGGGTTGATGTAGGGTTGATGTAGGGCTAGGGGTATAGAAACCATGGCGAATGAACAATTAAGCCAAACAACTCTTATTACAAAAAAAACATTTAAATTGTTGTGCGTAATTTAAATAAAATCAAACACATTATGCTCTAAGAAGTAGACCACATTAACTTTGTAAACGTCTCGAAGAAATAAATGTATTTTAAGATTGAATTCTTGTGTAAACTTTTGGCTGCAAAGCGCTCCTGCATTGTCTAAATTGCTTTCTCTCTTCCAATATAAACCTCATTATTGTTGTGTTTCCAACCCGCACGGATAACCCGCGACGTCCGCGCAACGAATGTCCTAATCTACCCGTATTTATCCACACAGTAGAAAATGCAAATCTCTGATAAAAAGTTAATCCTTTAATTAGTTTTACCGTAACAACACATAGCAACGGCTTAAATTATATTAACCTTAGTTTATTAACGGCTTAAATGTATTAACCTTATCCGAGCTTTAGTACTTTAAAAACTTAGCACTAAAATATAGAAATCGCTTCACAATTATATATCATGACCTCTAACTTCCATGTGTTTATATAACTCTAGACAGCAACATATTCTCTCCCAGACCCCATATGGCAGAACGGGATTTAAATATTAGTTTAATTGATTGCAATTTTACTTGTAATTCATGAATGACTGTTAATGACTTTGGTGTTATACGTTTTAGAGAGCCGGAAACGACAAAACTTCGATATAGCTTGCATGTCATCTGTAATAACTCTCTGTGTGTTTTTCGTATTTTTTCCTATCTCAAGCGCGCTGGGTGAAATAAAAAATTGTATATATCCACACGGGGTGGGCGAGTTGATCACTTTTTAATGACTCTGTAATATGCAAATATTGACCATAACAACGGCGTTGACAACGATTTTAACTTGGGCTTAGCAACTGCTTAGTTCTGTTTAAAAATTTTCATATGTATGTCTAGATTTTTATTATTCCTTATTTAACTGTCCTAAACATGGTGAATACATCCCCAGGTAAGACCAAGGATGGTGTTAAAGTAGTGGACACTCTAAGATAATCTAATAAAACCTTGTAATACGGTGAATTCAAGTACACCTTTATACTCTATTTCTACTGTCTTTATGATTTTGGCGAATTTTGAATAAACTGGGGTATTCTCTGCAGAATCCCCCCCCCCCCGGAATTTTTGCAAGCTCCTATAAGCCAAGAATTTTCGTAATACCCAATTCTCACTGCGCATGCGTACAATATCTAATTCCCACAAGCATTACAACAACTTTAGTAGAATATATATCAAGAATGTGTTAAACTCCACCACAGTATAGGAAAAGTACAGTAGGGCCACTCAGCATAAAAAAGTGTCTACATTGTTTACTGGCTGCCAACCTAATTTACATATTGGCAGCCAGTAAACGGCAGCAGTCCACTATAAAATTGTACTACAGAATAATGATTTTGGCCGCGTAAAACACGTGGAACCTAGCTTAAATAATTGCCACTTTTCTCTCCCCTAAGTGGCCCTACTGGTTGTCTCCCTATACTGTGACTCCACTCAGTTTGTTAGAAGGAATAGATGTGGAGCTGAATATATTAGCAAAGTATTAAACCGTAAAAATTTTCTTAAAACGCTAGTAATCATCGGTCCACCACATTCTTTAAATACATTACAAGCGTGTAATTGGTATGATATGATTTACTGATGACGTAATGGGTGGAGCTCTATTGCTCCACCCGCTCCACCCGCGCCAGAACCCCCATTCCCTATACTACTCCCATCCACCACAGCATCATTCATTTCCATGTTCATATTTTCTTTGCAGCTTATTTGGGCAACATTTTCAACAGTTTTCCCACTTCTCGTTCCCGTGCTTTGAATGTCGAATGGTTCATGGTTGGAATGTTTATTGTTGACAACAGATTATTCAAGTGTGTATTACCAATTCCAGTGTGAAGACATCCTAGTGCAGCTTGGGAGTTAATATTGAATGTTGGTTTTCCACGTTTACCTGATCTGTGGGTTGGAGAAGTTTCAAGATGTTTTATGGCACCACAAACATGGCATTTGATTTTGAACACACTTGCAAGACCAACAGTATCTTCCTTTAATATATTGCTAAATGACAATGGACCTGAAAGAAAATAGTCATATTATTGCAGAATAATGTTAATACATGACTTACTCATTCAGTTTCCATGCATTTTATTTTGACAAAAGTGATCATAATTTAATTTTTGGTAACTAACCTTTTAGGCATGTACTGCAACTTGAAAGAGTATTTCTTAAAATCTTCAGGTCAAAAATACGACAACCATCAATGACTGAGAATAAGATGTAATTTTAGAGTTTGCTTTCTATATTTTAAATAAATCATACAGTATTTATATTAGAAACGCTCTGACAGAGTATATTGTTTACTTAAACTTCAGTGCTTAGCTTCTTGGTATATAAACTAAAATTGTTTTACTCACAGTCCTTTTCCGTGTCAAACATATTTCGCTTTCTTCATCTGTTTTGTCTTAAACCTCTAGCTGTCTTTTCGCCGACCTGATGCACTTCATTTTTTGAAATGTTGACATGCACTGAGCTTGTCCGACTAAACTTTCCGGTTATATTCCGTTTCAAATTATCTTTATGCCATGTTGAATCATCCTCATCCTGCTCGTTTTCTCCTGCAACCAACTTTGTAATTGAAAATGCAAAGATGGGTGCAAGAAATCCCAATATCGAAAAACGATCGTATAGACTATCGCGATCATTTTCGCCGAACTTGTTTACCGATGATATTTGGCGCACGGACACTTTAAAAGTCGACTTATAAATAGAGGGATTTTTCTCTCTTTTGTAGCCAAGGTTTGTACGGTGTTTAACATTACAAAGGGCATCAATGCTAGCAGAAATAGGACGTAAAAGTCGTAAAAAGCGATTCATTTTGATATTTGTTTGTTTTTTAAATTTCCCGCGACGCCATTTAAAACCCGCGTGTTGCAAGTCCACGCAAATTACACGCAAGCTTGACACGCGCGAGTACATCGCTTTCTCGAACTTAGTCTTCCTTAAAGAAAAGTGTATCGAGCCACCTTAATACTGATACCTTGATCAGATCAGCTATACCAAGGGCACTTCTCCCGTCATATATAATATAAACAAGTTGATTATTTCAAGCACGAGTGTAATATATTTTTAACAGCAGTAAACACTGAGATATATTTAGCACTGAGCAATGAATTAATTAGTCACTACTGAATTTGGCGGGAAACTATGTCATGCCGTTTCCTAATTGGTCAAGTCGAAACAATCGGAATGGAATGTGTTGTGCAGTAAGCAGCCTGTGCGTGGGGAGAAAACCTCGGACCCGCGAACAGGCTGCGTAGTAGACTAATGGGTCCGGGGTGGGCGAAAAAATGAAAAATTTTTCATGGGTCCGGGGTGGGCGTACCCTGGGTGCCAGAGGTTCTTCCACGCTCGTAGGGGGATAATGAGGGATACACGAGGATTCAAGCTGGGCGACGGCGAGCGGGAAGAACCTCTGGAACACTTCTATGGTTTCTCAGATCGAACCGCACCAATCACGATGCTTAATAGTGTGAAGTGATCCAGAATCTGGATCACAGTGTTAATTGGTTAACGGCAGGTACTTGTTAAAACAATGACTTTCATTGGCTGTTTGAACCGTATGTCCTTCAAGATATTATCGTTCAGAATCCGTACAGGCATACGCTGTTGTTTAATATAATATTATATTTATAACATAGTCAGGCGTAAATATATATGCCTCTAGTTTTGCGAGTCTTGCGAGAGGATTTCAACAACTCAGTCGCGGTTGATTCGATTTTGAATTTTTTTACTGGACGGTGTTACAGAATTCAATAAACATCAAGATGATATCAGCCTTGTTTCTGTGTTTCAGTTAATGCATCGCCGTGATATGTTTGCTACATTGCCAAGAGGAAATTTCATGTGCGTGTCTGTCTAGTAATCAAGCATTTCAAGACAAGATGGGAGTCTTTATAGGCCTATTCATATCGAGGCGAATTACCCGGCAAGTCGAGTTTATACTCGTCAACTGACAAGATTCCGGCTATATTTATATATTATAGAAACTTACACAGTAGTAAAACCCGGGAGACTGTTTACATGACGATGCAGCCGAGTATAAATAAACTCGCCAGTGACAAGTTCCCGGCAGAAAGAGGCGAGATATTGCCTTCGGCGAGATGAATAGTTATGCATGAGTCAATTCCAGGAGTAACCATCCCCCCCCCCCCCGGAACACACCCGGGCATTTGATTTGATTGGTTATGACAGTGTAAATGCCCGGGTGCCGCGACACAACTTGAAGACTAATGCACGGCCCCTGAGCAATTTGAGAGTGGAAAATGCCCCACCCCGGGGACGATTTTACAGTCGATTTCACGAAACTTTGACCACAAATGTTCGGAACTTCGTTGCATAGTTCGCAAGTTCGTTGCGAAGTTCGGAAGCTCATATTGGAATTCACAAGCCAATTTGTAAACAAAGTCCCTGATTGGTCCATGAAGTAAAAAAAGCCAATCAAATGCGTAGCTTACGAACTGGTTTGTGAATCTCATTATGAACTTTTGAAGAGGGTCCTGAAGGGGGGTCCCAATCCCATTTCCCACCTGAAATTTTGGCAAAATCCCAGTCCCAGTTGGATTTTTATTAGAAATCCCAGTCCGAGTTATTGAAATCCCAGTCAATAAAAAAAGTTATTTATCGGTAGAATAAACAGTTTTAAGACCTTTCAAGCCACCGTGTGCATGGCAGAAGCCGTTGCCACTGAATTAAGCCTGTTACTGCAGGTCGAGGACATGCGATTTACTTCGGACCACTTCGGTTAAGTAACTTCCCACTTTGATAGGGTTTTTTTCAGGTATAGTTCAACGTCTTTAAAGACTTTAAAAGAACCTTTCACAACATTACTTCGAGATTTATATATGTACGTTGCCAACACTGGTCCATACTTTCGAGATTATGTCGCTAAGACACATATAATCAGAAAACCCGGAATTTCGGGCACTAGAGTATGCCTGTTGACCCTGTTCCCAGGTAGTGCTGTGAATAATATACTATATTATTCTAACAAAAATATACTATATAACAACAAATCATGACCAAAGACACCAAAAACGGATCAAAATTGTATTTTAAAATACTTAGAACGTGGAAAAATTAGGAATCGACTTGCATTACCTCAATCCCATTCCCATTTCTGAGGACTTCATTTTCCATTCCCAGTGGCCAAATCGCAGTCCCAGCAACCCAAATCCCATTTTCCCAGTCTAAAAATATATCAATCCCAGTTCCCATTTTACCCCTTCAGGACCCTCTTTGAACTTCGCAACAATCTTGTGAACTTCGCAACGAAGTTCGGAGAATTTGTGGTCAAAGTTTCGTGAAATCGACTGTAAACGTTAATTAAACTTTTAATGGCACATTGTCATTTAATAACATTATAGTATATTACACTGCTATGGAATATTATAAAACATTAACCTTTAATAGCTCGCTTATTCTTACAATAAATTTCACGCCACCTTGACCACGAGGGCGCAAAATACGATCAGTCCGTCCACATGCGTGCCTGAAACTAGGTTTTGCTGCCTTAAAATTTGTGGGCGGGATTCTGTGCAACCATTTGTCAAATTCCCGGGGTCCTCCAATACCCGACCCCCGTGCACATATATGAAAGGCAAATTCCCGATCCCCGTGAACTGTCTATCTGGCAAATTCCCGGAGGTGTCCCGGGGGGGGATGGTTACTCCAGGAATTGACTCATGCATTACCATAATAAACAAAAGATGTTCGGGTATTTGTTAACTCGGCCGCCCGAGATCGAATGTATGTATATAAATGTATGTGCTTTGCATTTGAAATATAATATATTACTCAAACATACATACGAATCATTAGATAAGTTTTATTCGCTAATTGCAGAGTAACTCGCCTCCATATAAACAGGGCCTTCGACGGCAAATATTCGTTTGTATATAATATGACGAACAAGAAATGCTTCAAAGTGCAATCTACCGAGGCGACGATCCTTTTACTGTATATACTAAAATACCCACTGTGAATAACAAATTCACCACAAACTCGACAATACTCGTCTCCGCTTTTTTGTAACACTTTTAACAGGTGTACGGTCTAATGCCATGTGGCCATAAAATATTATTCGGTTTATTTTACCATAAAGACTCGCTAATTTTAATTTTTTGTTTTGACATTGACACATTCTCTCGCAATTTCCATCGCTCAAATGTTCGGTTGAACACGCCCAAATCATCATCAGTCAAAAATAAATACGTGTCCCATTGGCTAACGCTTGATTGACATCTGACAATTAAAACAGTAAGCCATAGAAGTGTTCCAGAGGTTCTTCCCGCTCGCTGTCGCCCAGCTTGAATCCTCGTGTATCCCTCATTAACCCCCCTACGAGCGTGGAAGAACCCATGAAAAAATTTTCATTTTTTCGCCCACCCCGGACCCATGAAAAATTTTTTATTTTTTCGCCCACCCCGGACCGGTACCCATGAAAAAATTTTCATTTTTTCGCCCACCCCGGACCCATGAAAAAATTGTCATTTTTTCGCCCACCGCGGACCAAGAAAAAATTGTCATCCTTTCGCCCACCCCGGACCCATGAAAAAATTATCATTTTTTCGCCCACCCCGGACCCATGAAAAAATTGTCATATTTTCGCCCACCCAGGACCAAATGAAAAAATTGTCATTTTGTTGCCCAAGCCGGACCCATGAAAAAATTGTCATTTTTTCGCCCACCCCGGACCAAGAAAAAATTGTCATTCTTTCGCCCACCCCGGACCCATGAAAAAATTATCATTTTTTCGCCCACCCCGGACCCATGAAAAAATTTTCATTTTTTCGCCCACCCGGGACCCATGAAAAAATTGTCATTTTTCCGCCCACCCAGGACCCATGAAAAAATTGTCATTTTGTTGCCCACCCCGGACCCATGAAAAAATTGTCATTTTTTCGCCCACCCCGGACCCATGAAAAAATTGTCATTTTTTCGCCCACACCAAACCCATGAAAAAATTGTCATTTTTTCGCCCACCCCGGACCCATGAAAAAATT